AGCTTTAAGAACCTTCACACTATATGAGTCTAGGTATAGATGAATTTTGATAATCTTCTTGTACGCAACAGCCTAGAACTATAGTAATGCCACTCTTGTGCTGCAGGATGTAATCCTCTCACCAAAAGATCCTCCAAGAAAATCGTGAAGTATCCGTAAACATATGTTACTTGCGACAACAAAATCTGGCAAAGCACGAGTTCTTCCATATTATAGCTCTCATGAGTCTGATGCGTTATTCACTTATACCCTTTATTAAATCGTGTCCTCTTCGGTCGCATATATTATGATTGATGTATTGCAGGACATCTAGTTACCAGTTCATGGCTCTTTTTTTGCAAATTGCCGACTCGGCGAAATTATCAGTTCACAATTACGCGTGGTAGACAACCAATTGACTACATGGCCCAAAATCTCCATACAATAAACTACTGTTAGTATCCCACTCAAGTACAATTTGAACATGACATTGATAGCAAGTTTTTACAAGGACAGCCCAGTCTACCCTACTTCACATTATAGACCTATTAGCCTTTTCCATTCCAATAACTATAAGATGGGCCTAAAAATGCTTTGTTAAATGAGAATGGAAAAGTCTTTTTCCCTAAAATATCTTGCTGAGACTAAGACAATCTGACAAGCGCTGTCAGACTCTCGTACTCGTTAGAGAAGAACAGCGCGTTGCCCTAGGATTGGTTAACATGGAGATATAAATCAACGCATACCCTGCTCCCATTCAATGATACAGTCATTCCACATTATCCGAGCACACTGAAGCATGAAATGGTTTTTTCAACAAACTATCTCAAGAATTCTCTCAGTCCATAAGCCTCTTATATTGAAATTCTCATCAAAAATGTTTCTTGCAGCTATTCTCGCCTTTAATAATCACAAGTACATGTACTTCAACTCGATGAAACAAATATGAAGGTGCCTTCAATCCCTACTCACATTGACCAACCCATACAGAGACCGCCCTGGTTTTTCAACTTTGGAACAAGTCTCTCCATGCCATAATATAATCCCCGAGCTAGTGTTCACCTATTGTGTTTTTCCGACGACGTATCTGCCTAGTTATACAACATTAAAGAATTTAGTGTTCCAAATGACATTTACAGAAAAATCATAACATAAAAACCTATTGGGCGCGGAACTGAATATCCATGTATTCCACTTAGCATTAGGAAGACCTGGGCCTGAGGTCGGACACGGAGGCCATCATGCTCTAGTACCGGCCGCAGGCATCATTTGTGCTTGTCCTCTATCCTCTTCTGGATTAGTCATATACTGATCCATAGGACCCCGTGCACCTCTGTTATGTATAGTGGAGGAAGAGCCCTTTCCACTCTCGCTCCCAAAATAAGCGCCATGTTCAACCCTATCATCAAATTGCTTCTGTTGCAAGTGTTTAGCCGTGGCACTTTTCTTCATATAAGCAATTATTTCCTCCGTCACCTTTTCCGGCACATTTGCACAGGGTTCTACGTTTTTGTGCGAGCATGATAGGTGTTCTTTCATGCGGGTAACACCTCCCTTCACCACTTTATCGCAAAAATTACATTTCAAATAAACATAGCTCTTCTCTCCGCCGCCAATGTCAACTTGTACATTATATTTCCAAGAAGGGTCCCTACTCGATGACGAAGACGCCTTTTCCTTGCCTCTAATCATGATCCCTAATGAAAGAATCGAAAATCACACAAAATAATTCAAAAAATCTAAAACCTTAGAATTTCTTTCACTTTAAAAATCTAACCAAAAACTAAAAAAAAATACCTAAAATCGTTTGTGGACTTCTCTTACAAGGCGGTCGGACACTTCAAGTTCGCCGGAGAGAGGCGGCGAGAAGGAGGGCCGAATGTGCGGGAGGGTCTCTGTTTCGCGACCTGGGGCTTGCGGGCGGAGATAAATCGCAAAATGCTGGACTGATCGGGTATAAGGGAAAAAGAATTGCTTATTTTAAGTAGGTGGGTCCAATTGGGTGAGGCGTACGCCTCACCCATAATTGCGCAATTGCACAATTGAGGCGCGCCTCACACAGGGTGAGTCGTACGCCTCATCCAAGCTCCAAATTGCGTGCGCCTCGAGGCGCCTTTGGGAAGAATTGCGCAAAGGCGCGCCTCTCGTTGCGCAATTTTAAACAGAGTAGAGGGCCCTGCCTATAATCAAGTATTTGTTTGTGTATTCAAACACTTGTATTTTTTCATGCATTTAAACATCTTGAACTAGTCTCTCTCTCTCTCTCTCTCTCTCAAACACTTACATTTTTGTCACTTGTCTACGATTTTATCTATTTGTCTATTCTATATAGATGGACCTGATGCCCAGGTCTTGAATGTGATGTTAAATTTTTCTTTAAGCAATGCATGGTTGTGCTTCATCTTCATGCAGATGCCCCAAAACTTACAGGCTACGAGGACCTATGGAAAACCCCATGGCTTGCTTAAACTAATGATAAGATTCTGCAGATGGTCACTTCTGTAAAACCAATAGTTTAAAGCTTACTAAGAAAGTTTTGCCCTTTATCTTTCTAATTTTAGGATTTTTTTAAGCATTTCGTACATTGTAAACTCACAGATGGCCATCGAAGCCATTAATTATTCTGTGCGGATGCTGAATGCTTAGGGGTGTCAATTTTTGACACGTCCCGAAACACGACCCGAACCCGACTCGGGAAAATCCGGGTTAGGGTCAACCCGGACCTGAAACGGGTCGGGTTCGAGTTCAACAAATCAACCCATTTTAAAAATCAGGTCGGGTTTGGGTTGACCCGAAAATGACCCAAAATTGACACGAAAATTCCTATTTGACCCGGAAACCCGAGATTGACCCGTTTTTTACCCGATTTTGATCCGAAAATCCAAGATTGACCTGATTTTGACCCGAAAACTAGTAATTTTAGGTCAACTTCGGGTCATTCGTGTCAGGTCGGGTTGACCCAGACCCGAATTGGGTCAGGTTCGGTTCCGGAAACCTGACCCGTTTTTAAAAACAGATCTGGTTCGGGTTGACCCGAGTAGTGCCGGGTCAGTTCCAGGTTTGACCCGAACCCGACCCGTTGACCTGAATTGACACCCCTATGAATGCTGTCCGGAGAACAACCAGAATGCGTCATGTCACCCCTTCGCTAGGTTCCACGGCTCGGTACTGCTCAATACCGTTGATGTGGCGCATTATGGTTTGGTCTTCGGACAGTGTTCTGAGTCTGGTCTCTGCACATAATAATTTCTCCATTGAAACATATTATTTTTTTAGAAAAAGAATTTTAATCTTCACAGGTTTCACAAGGCTTTTATCAATTTAGATAATATACTTGGATTTGCTTTGTCCTTGAGGCCTATATTTTTTTTCATTACAAGTTTATTTGTTTAAGGTTTCATTTGGGATTGGTTTTGATAATTTTTTTTTTCAAATATTTTTTACTAAAAATTACAGTATAAAATAGTAAGAAAGCTGTCATAAACGAAATCTAAGACTGACGGTCATCAATCTGATCATCATCACTGGATTTGGCCATATCCTTGTTTGTCAAACGCTGACATGACCTCATTGGGCCAATTAAATAGTGAAGCTCTTAGCTCCAACACATCCTCTTTGGTACATAGCTCATCTTAGCCTGTTGGTTGAGAGCTTAGGCTTCCAATTAAGAGGTCTTCGGTTCGAGTTTTTGTGTATGCATTGTGTGTGTGAGTTTGCCTTAAATGGCCTAAATATCCAAAAAAAAAAAAACACGCATCCTCTTTGGATTATCTGATAGTTCATTGAGAATTCCTAAGTGATGACTTGGCTGCTAAACTCAATGAAGCCTCAAGAAAAATTATTCTGTTCGGACCCGAATGACATTCAGAGATCAATTAGAACGCGTCATGTTACTTTTTTGTTAGGTACGAGTGCTCGGTACCGCTCGGTATCAGGTGACCTGACACATTCTAGTTGGTCTCTGAACTGTCTGATGTTCGCACAAAATAATTTCTCTAAAATTGGCCAACATCTCTCTTACAAATCTTGAAAATGTGGCAAAATCTTTTGAAATCTGGCATACTATCAAGATTATCTTCATGCATTATTACTATTATTGAATTTTTAATGCTCTTGCTGAATTGTGATGATAGAATGATATGTTTCATAAAATTATTCGGAGTTATCATTGATTAGCAAAGTTTAATGTTACCAAGACATAATTAAAACATTTTCAGTAAGTTCTTCATCCACCTGTTCTTCCTATGCTTTTGGCTTTTAATATTTAAACCTAAAAAGAAAAAAAAAATTCAATTTTGGACATTATTTTGAGTTTTGATGCTTTTGATTATTTTAAATCGTCATATTTATTTATTTTTCTTTTAAATGTAACATTTTAAAATTAAAATGATGTAGAAAAAGTATTGAAGTTGTTGAAACAAGAAAACTTAAATTTTTATTTAAAACCTATCGAATTTGTGCAAAATTCCAAATATTATCTAAAATTCACTGAAGCTGAGTTTCAATTTTAAAATTTTTATTCAAATAAATTTTGTTTTAATCATATGCAATTTATATTTAACATGAAATTTTGAAGAATAGTAGGGAAGTAAATTTAGGCTTCGTTTGGGACGGCTTTTTTATTGCTTCTTGAAGCAATTTTTTAGTATAAAAATTAAAATTTTTGTACTAGAAAGCTGCTTCAAAAAGAAATAAAAAAACCGTCTCAAACGAAGCCTTAGAGAGAGTTTCAGACTTGAGCTTCATTTGGGATCATTTTGTTACTATTTTATGCAACAATTTTTTAGTACAAAATTTTTTTGAATTTAAAAATTTTATATTAAAAAGTTGCTTCATAAAATAATAATAAAATTATTCCAAACGAAACCTTATGCATTACTATAAACAAAAATCAAAATTTTGAATCCAAAAAGCCATGAACTTTCAATGCTTCAAAGTTGCCAAAAGCTTGATTACAATATGGATATAACACAAAAAATTCAAAAAAAAAAAATCTACAAAACTTGAAGCAGAAGAAGAAATAAGCAGAACAGATAACTCTTACAATATATCAATGAATAGCTCAAAAATAAACAGTTTGAGATCTGATTGTTAAATACTGATTATATATATAGTTATCTACATTTATAACATCTTTCTGAAAGCCTTAGAGAATCTTTGGAAAGCATAAATTTACTCATCAGGTTTGGTTTGTTGCCTTGAAGCAGTAGGAATCTTTGCAATCTCTACCAAAAACTTGTGGAGAGCCTGAGGCTTTGAAAAGAATGGAGAATGATCTGAGCCTTTCAGGCGAAAGGTCTTCTCCGGCGGGTGAGATTCACACATGATCTGTTGCAGGGGGAGGGAAATGGCATTATCTTCTGTAGTCTCTATATAAAATCTCCTCACTGAACCATAGTTCGAGCCGGTGAGCTCGAGTTTTTGCAGAACTGGAGCGAAAGGGATCGGCCTCATCGAAACTGAAGCCAGAGCTACATCCTTTGGAAAGAACAGATTCTATCAATGAGATGAATTATAATTCAATAAGAACAATAAGACTGTTGGTAATAGGAAGAACAAGACTTACCTTGTCAGGACTTTGATTAAATAACAGATCTTTCAACAATGACTTGTCAAGTTCAATAGCTGTAGGAGATTGGTCTTTTCCATTTGCATATAAAAATATTTGAGCTTGTCGCATTAGATCACTGCCACCTTCCTATTATAGGAAAGATATCAGAGAGAGAAACATTCCAAGAACCCTTTGATGTTTTATGTTTATATTTTTCTTACTAACATTCACACTAAATCAAGTTCATGAAAGATAGACATAGACAGAAATGTGCATAAATCTTGTAAATAGTTACTTTTTTTATCTACAAGGTTCATAAATGGATTTTTATTGAGATTAATTGAAACCTGTTGAGAGAAGATATGAAGAGTATTTTGCCCGTCTTTCAGCATAGCTGCAGCTAGAAAAACTGCTTTGGAAATCTTAGTTGGGAAAGCTTCCATGGCGTAGGATATGCAGGCACCACCAAAATCATGGCCAACTAATATCACCTGCAAAATACAAATGAGGATCTGTAAGAATCCAAGCGCAATTCATTTCAAATCCAAATTTAGAATATTTGCTTCATATGAAACATCTGAGAGACACAGCAGAGGACTGCAAAAGTTGTAAATATTGTATAAAGCTGAAGGGGTAAAACACCTTATGATAGCATATGTTGAGATTAAGGCTTTGTTTGGGACGGCTTTCTTACTGCTTCTTAAAGCAGCTTTCTAGTATAAAAATTTTAATTTTTAAACTAAAAAGCCGTCGTAAACGAAGCCTAAATCTATTGGGATTGCCTCATATTTGTAAGTGGGACCCATTACATAAGCATGAACTTTAAAACAAATGATTTTAGAGATAAATAAAAATGTATATAAATTACCTTCATAGATAAGCATATGTTCAAAAGTTGGTAAAAAAATATTGTTAGTATGAATTAGCTACAAATCAATGTTTTAATCAAATTTTGACTTAAAGTTTCACCTACTTAAACTACTATAATTAGAAGGAAAAGAGGAGATTATGTGTGCTTGAAAGCTATAGCCAATTATTGCTGAGAAATAAAAAGAAAAAGGCAAGCAAGAGAAGAAACTTTTTCTAAGAGCATCTATGTTGAGGTTTTCTAGGTTGGCTTAGATCTGTTTGTTTGTTTTCCCTTTTTTTGTTTGTTGAATTTTTACAAGATATTAAGAAGCTTTTCTGTCTATTTGGCTTGAGAGATTTGGGAATTTTATTTATGCTGAAATTAAGTGTATTTAGATTTGGGGAAGAGTGTGATTCTCCTAATGCCTCAATAGATATGAACACTAGTAACTTGCTAATAGTAGATTGGTTCTCCTCTCTCCTCCTCTATGGATATAAATGTTATTTTGGACAAATCACACAATGATATGAAACAAGCAGTATAAAGACTAGAATGCTAATATGTGTCATAATGAATACCAATAATTATTTATAGCCCAGCTCAATATAATTAAATGATAATAAAGATAATGAAAAATAGGCAAACCCCATAAACATGCCATGCATTAATGGACAAACAACCGATTTAAAGAAAGCTACACCAAATGACTTGAAAAACTAGGCCAAACTTAAAAATTTATATTTCCTTAAGCCTGTTAATATTAACAAATTTATACTAACAAGAAGCAATAAACTAAAAATAAAACTAATTCTAATTAAATTGGTAGAAATAACTTCGTAAAATATTTCATCAACTAATTCAACTTATTCATCACATTTATCATCTTTAGTGGGCACAAATTGTTCACTTTCACATTTGAGAATAGATTCAATTTCAATTTAAAATTTAGCTTAATATTCAAGAGTGAATTCAATTTCCAATTGTAGCTTAGTTTCACATTCAAGATTAGATTTGAATCCTATTCTTAATTTAAGTTCAAATATGATTGTAAGTTTCATATTAGAGTCATATTCAGTGTCTATTTAAGATTCAGATTTGAAATTAATCTCACACTCAATTTTGAGTTTAAGTATGAATTGTAGCTCAGTTCATATAAATGTTTAGTCATTTTCAGTAGTTCATTCAAATTTCTTTTACAAATTCAAATTCAAGTAAGGTTTTAGGCCCAATGTTAGACTGAAATTTTCATTCATATATGGCCTCATGCTCATACCAATTCCATATTCAAATTTTGAACCTTGTCCAAGTATAAGTTCGGATTATGCAAATGTTCAAATTTAGAACATTATAAGAATTTTTCCTTAAAGATAACTCTTAAAATAATTATTCAATTGATTCTAATATTTTTTATGACAATGTTTTTCAAGATTATGACTTTGTTTGAATCATCTTTCTTACTGCTTTGCTTTTCAGACCACAAACATAATTTTTGTTTGGTCATTACTTTTTCGCTGCTTTTCAAAAATTTGTGTTATGAAGTTATTGCTAGAACAACTTAGAAAAATTAATTTCTCTTTAACAACTTTAAAAAACAGTTCGAAGGTTGTCCCAAACGAAGCAAATTTAGGTGATGCAACTTCATGATTGTTAGGGTTATTGATGCAATAAATAGTGAATTTTGAATTCAATTTGTTCATACTTTGCATCCTAACATGATATTGTTTTCACTTATGAGCCATTTGCTGATGGCTATGTTGATTTAGAAATAATGATGTGGGCTCCGAAAATTCGGCCCCGGCCTCCACCCGTTCATGCTTTTCTTTTTTATTCGGCGAGGGAGTTTTAACGGATAAGTTCCAGGGTAAATTTTGGAAGGCTGGTGGGTTTGTAGATAAGACACTACCCAGAGATTTCGCCCTCATTTTGTGAGGACTTTATGATCTGAGTTCTGGTTTCCTATAGGCGCAAGCCCCTATAATTAATTACCCCTCTCGATCACGAGAGAGAACTTTCGATTAAGGCTAGTCGTCAATCAGATACGTATAGAATACGTGTTATCTGGCATATAGTAGCAACAATGGATTTGAGATTGGAAAGATTGGATATTTGAGAATTTGAAGGGTTTGATATTTAATTTAG